TGTGCTGGTTTTATAGTAGAGACTGTTCATCAAGTAGTCCACAAGATGTGGTCTAATACAGAAGCATCTAAAAGTTAGACTTATAGAGAATTAAAGGCCGTTTTTATTACTTTATCTTCTTTGGTTCAATGTTTCAGTAATCGTTTAGTTAAAGTTTACACTGATAATCAGAACGTAGTAAAAATTATAAACGCAGGCTGTATGAACTCTGAATTACAAGATATTGCAATTGACATTTTTAATTTTTGTTTAAAATTCAGCATTTCTCTAGAAGTAGAATGGATACCTAGAAATCAAAATCAAATTGCTGATATTTACAGTAAAATTTTTGACTTTGATGATTGGTTTGTATCCGATTTGTATTTTAATTATTTTAATAAAGTGTGGGGTCCATACACGTGTGACCTATTTGCAGACAGTAATAAACGAAAGTTGGCAAAATTCTTTTCTCCATATTGGTGTCCTGGGACCAGTGGAGTAGACGCTTTCGCACACAACTGGTCAGAATTTAACTGTTGGATTGTAGCTCCTGTAAAATTAATTAGTCGATTGATTTCACATCTGTCTACCTGTAAAGGTCAAGGCATTTAGTTGTACCATAATGGACATCGTCACCTTTTTGGCCTTTATTGTGGTCATTTAACGATCAAAGGTTTAAATACTTCGTGAAAGATTTAATCGAGTACGCCAAACCCAGCAAGTTTTTTCAAAAAGGCTCTGATATTAACAGTATTTTCTTTGCTGAGAATTTATCGTTCAATATTCTCGTCTTGAGGTTAGATTTCAGAAGCTGAGGGCAATTATATATTAATTTTCCCGTGATGGGAGATTATTTTAGACATTGTAATTACCCGTGATGGGTATTGCGATTCTTAACCTGTTATGGGTGTTTATAATTGAATAGATTATTTCCCGTGATGGGATTTTTCTTTATTTTCCTGTGATGGGACTCTATTTATCTCCTGTGATGGGATTTGTCAACTCCGTGACGGAGACCCTTGCAAGAATTTATTAAGTCTGATAATTGGCGCAATATAAGTCTTTTTTTTTTTAATTGTATTCTTTTCCTTTCATGTTCGGTTTAATTTTTCTCACTGGAAGGATCTTAATTCTTTTGAAAATCCTAGTTTACGCAACCTCGCTGACAAACTACCTAATATTGTTTTGTCCAGCAAAAGTAAAAATACTATAAAAGTTTATGATTACGCTTTTAAAAAAATTTAGCACTTGGTGTACAAATCATGACTTATGTGCGTTACCATCGTCGGTTGCTAACATTGCACTTTATTTATCATATCTAATCCAGCTGGAAGTATCTTCTTCAGTTTTACAAAATGCTTATTATGCAATCAAATGGGAGCACGAGCTTAACTTGTACAATTCAGTGTTTTCTGAAACATTTTTGCAGTTGATTTTAGAAGGAGGAACCAGAATTTTATCAAAGCCCGTAAATAAAAAAGAACCAATTACGTCTGAAAATTTTACAAAAAGTTTTCGATAACTATGAAGATTTGAATAACATTAAGAATTTAAGAATATGTTGTTTGATGCTGTTGGGATACGCCGGTTTTATGCGTTTCAGCGAGCTTGCAAAACTGATGTGTATAGACAGGGCAACACTATTTGTATTGCTAGAACCAACTCGGACTTGTGTCCAGTGACAATGTTAGAGAGATATTTAAAATTAATAATTATTTCTTTGATTTCCAGTGAATATGTTTTTAGAGCAATTACATTCTTAAAAAGTAAAAACAGTTACGCGTTATGCAAAATTAACAAACCTATATCGTATACTAGAGCAAGAGAGCTACTTTTAGATGCTTGTGTCAAGCAGGTTTTGAAAAAAGTAAATTTGGTCTTCATAGTTTGAGGAGCGGAGGCGTGACTCAGGCAGCTCATAATAGAATACCAGAAAGATTATTAAAGCACACGGTCGATGGAAGTCAGATCTATCAAAAGACGGTTACATAAAATAAAATTCATATAACAGGTTATCTGTTACATGTACCAATAATTTAAATTTGTAAATTACTATTTTTGTATTTTTTTATACCAGTCTACACATATTTCCTTTGTTTTGTCGAACTGTTTGGTGTGTATCTCCTGCCGTATTAGTCTTTGTTGTTTCTTTATATAGAATCAGAAATAACTTATGTTTGGACGAGCAAAGCGAAGTAGAACATAATTGTATTTCTTTTCGTTTTGAGATTTCTTACTAGTTCTGTTGCGCAATGCTGAGTAATTCGGTTTTCGGACTTTATATACTGTTTTACGCGCCCTTTTCATTTCATCGAGATTTCACACACCAAACTTGTTCGACAACTTTATTACATTAAGATTGTAATATTATGCTTTGTATAAATCCTAATTCTTTGTATTTTCTTTTTGTAGATATTAGTATGAACAGTTGAGATGAATAATGACGCATGATGTATGGACTTTAATATTCAATTGGTTTATTTTGAAAAAAATGTTAAATTAAAACTGTTTGGTGTGTATCTCCTGCCATATTAGTCTTTGTTGTTTCTTTATATAGAATCAGAAATAATTTATGTTCGGACGAGCAAAGCGAGGTAGAACATAAAAGTGTTTTACCACCAAGCAGCACTACAAGAAATACATCGAACCAATTAACATAAAATTAAATATATAAAATGAATATGAAAAACAAAATGCAGAGGGAAAGAAGTTTTTCCTTGCGCATGAAAATCATTGAGAAGTGTGTAGGGTCAGAAAATTTAGCCCCAACATCGGTTTCTACTGAGCTAAAATATGATGGAAGGGTCTTCTAACAGTTTTGCACATCAATCACGGATTGTGTATTCGATTTACACTGCATATCCGGAGGCGTCTCCTTTAATCACAGTAGTTTTAATTTATGTACCTAGGTACTCTTTGGATGGTTTGCTTGATAGATGAAAACGTTTTGACATACATGTTCTAATATATAAGATGGGCACGAAATGATTTGTTCCCATTTTTGAACAGTTGTGGCAATTTCAGATCATCTTCTTGTTATATCGTTGTATTGATAATGTACTACTTATTAATTCTTGATGGTCATATTCAAGTACGATGACAATTAATGCAAGGACATACAGATTAACAATGATAATATGAGGTTAAATTCTGTTTTCAGACTAGGGAAAGACTGTTAAAGGTGAGTTGATTAAACGCTTAGAACGTGATATATTTAAGTATTTACTGAAAGACGTTCCCGCAGCATTTAGTTTGTTATTCTATTTATTTTTTAAAAGTTGTTTAAGTTTATATCTGGACTAACCTATCTTCTTGGCCTCTGTTCCTTTTGTGGTTCATACAAAATGTGCCTAGGTCAAATAAAGGCAACAGTAGTATACAGCTGTTTAATAGTCGTTATTCGATTAAGGAAAAACAAATCCGGGTAACAAACTAAAACCGAGGGAAACCCATCAAAGCCTTTACACCCCAAATCAAATTACAAAAAAAGCATTCAATTCAATAAAATAAAAATCAAATACTGTTTTGATTTAGAAAAAGAACATTACTTTTTCACAATTTTTTTTTATAAAGCTTAACATGAAGGCTAAATGAGAATCATGCGTCTAGTGTAAATCCAATACACAGTCGATGTATGTATATTGTTTCTCTAATTTTTGTGCTATTTTCACAATTTCTTGACCGGTGTGAGAAAAATATTTCTCCTCACTAGTGAAAAATTTGTTCTCGGCAAATGATTGGTCGAAATTTAATTATGACGTCAAATTTTCTTGGTTTCTTCTGAATTTTCCTATTGTGACGTCATGAAAAAAGGCGACCATGCCTGATGACGTCACATATAAAGAACACAACTTTCTGCAAATCTTTGAAAAGGAAGGATAAGAATTATTAGAGAAACAGATTCCACCACTATAACTCGTGTATTACGATATTTCTCTATTTTTGTCACTATTTTCACATTTCTCAACCGATTGTGAAAAAAATGTTCTCCTCACTAGTGAAATATCTGTTCTCGGCAAATGATTGGTCGAAACTTAAATGTGACGTTAAATTTTCTTGGTTTCTTCTGAATTCCCGATTGTGACGTCATGAAAGAAGGCGACCATGCCTGATGACGTCACATATAAAGAACACCACTTTCTGCAAATCTTTGAAAAGGAAGGATAAAAATCATTAGAAAAACAGATTCCACCACTATAACTCGTGTATTACGATATTTCTCCACTTTCAACAGTTAAATTTTAATATGTAAAGAGCTCGGCAAGCCTCACGCTTTAAATATTAAAATTGAACTATCTCGAGTAGAGAAATATCGTAACACACTTGTTGCAATGGTGAAATCTATATTTCTCCCCTCTCAACAGTTAAATTTAAAGTATTTAAAAAGCTCGGCAAGCCTCGCGCTTTAAATTTTAAAATTTAACTGTCTCGAGTGGAGAAATATCGTAACACACTTGTTGCAGTGGTGAAATCTATATTTCTCATATATCGTTGCTCTCGAATTGGTGAAATTAATAAATCATATGTATTCTACTTGCTCACGGTATTTTATGTCACCGCTTTTTATTGAATATTCGATATTTATGGTACATTGTCAAAAGAGTGTTGACTGATAAATACCTATCTTTTGTGTTGATTTCTGGTGGTTTTTTTTAGATGCGTTGGCGTTAGCATTTACAAATATCGTGCATGTATTTTTGTCTGAAATGTACCTGGTCTTCAAAGAGATTTATCAACACAATGTTGAAGATGAACAAAATTTGGAGTTGATTGTTTGCGCATTTATTTCTATCATATAAGTGACTACCATTGTGGGAATAAGTCGATATCAGAGATAACATAAAATTTTAACCATGCAGACACTGAAATGCTATAAGAATCTGTACAAACAAATAAGGTTCTTGCATTCTATTATCGCTTCGCAAAACATCTAACACGACTTTTCTTTGCACTTTCTCTCATAAGGTGTGACTCAGATTTACAGAACTATTTTCAGGGAGTTACGTAGAGAATCAACAAATATGCCCGAACCTAAATTGAATCGCGAAACCTGGGGAAGCTGGTTTGAGTTTGTCTTTTCGTGTATTGGATCTATGGTAGGATTAGGTAATGTTTGGAGATTTCCATACATCTGTTTTAAAAATGGTGGAGGTGAGCAATATTATTACATTGTACATTGTTATCATTACAGTCGCCACCAGATACGTCAGATATCACAACTATGCATAAAAAATGCATTAAATATTGAAGAGCATCAAAGCAAATAGATCATATTTATCGCCGTCGTCACTTATCACCAGCATCACTTTAGTGATTTTAAGCAGTTGTATGACCCTGACAGTTAACAACTGAATTCTTCTCATCAGGAGGAGAAGATCGTCAAAATGTATTTTTGTTGGGTTTTTTTTATCATAAGCCAATATACAAACTGTGCAGTTATATGGATGAATGTTCGAGTTTGGAATATTTGCAAATTGGTATATCTCTCCTAGTAATAAGCATGTTTTAAAAGACATAATTAATTTGATGCTTACCTAAGGACAAACTTTTAACCTATTTTTTATGATAATAAGAATAAGTAAATATTTGAATAAATTTATAAAATTTGAGCTTCATTCTAGTTTGAAAGTATTTTTAAAATACTCGTTGGTAGTTAAGAATGGGAGATACGTTACTATAATAATCATGAAAGTCAACCCTTCTAATTTTGTAGTTTCAGTAAAAGGCAAATTATGATGTTGATAACGAAATTTGCCTTTTAGAGCTATAATGAAAAAAACAAAGATTGAAAAAATTACCTGAAGTTAACCGTTTCATAATAATAATAAGAAAGTTGAGGTTTCAGTTAATTCAAAATTAAAAAAGTGAATAAATCAAAATCAGCACGAAAAGATGTTTAAATTCATCCACAACTAAAGGGCATACGATACAGTAACAGGGGAGGTAATGACGTCGCTAACGTAAAATGTTATTTTTTGCGACGTCAAACTGTAACATATCGGGAAGAGATGCATTTTTCGACTGATTTTTTTCATTTAGACTGATTTATCTTATAAACGAGTTCATAGACCCCTCTGTTGAAAAATGACATTTTACTTGATTATGTATGAAGATTACTTGTGCCAATTTTCATAAACAAATCACCGATGATTTTTTTTAATTAGCAAAAAATGCCGTTTTTTGACTAAAATCATAAAAATATGATAAAACTGAATTATTTCCAAAGAAGTGTTGCGCCACAAATTCAAAGCACACTTATGTAGAGAAGATATCACAGATTTTTTTTTACAAAAGTCCGCTTGCGTTTATCTTTTGAAACAAAAAAGTTAGGTGTGTCTTTCTAAAGGATAGAAATGTCTAAGAAACCGAAATTTCCAGTAAATGTATAAAATTTCTACCTCATTTATCTTAAAGTAGCACATGAAGGTATATTTTTTATTACATATTTGAATTGACTAGGTGAAAAATAGCTTGTATACAAACTTTCGTCAACAATTCACCGTGGGATCAAAACTGTATCGTATGCCCTTAACATTAAACAGAACCACAACCCCATCACAAACCCTCAACCCGACCCTCAAATTGAAAAATGTATTAAAGTAGTCTATTAGAATTACACAGTCATCAATACACCAATTTTGGTATTGATGATGGAGATATCTATCACGAGTGATTATGAACTGGACCCAGAATTGAGGTGGGCCTAAAGATTTCTCTGATTCAAAAATAAAATAAAAGAAATCATCAATTGGCGCTGTATATTTTTTTGGGTCGGTCTTATAAATATGAGCTCACCAAATTAATAAAAAGTTTAGGATACGGAGATAAGAAAGATGGGACACGCTAGTGAGACTAAGGACTGACTCATATATCAATATGTACTGTCTATGCTGATTGCAGCAATAATAATAATAATAATAATAATAATAATAAGGATAATTTGCTTTTAATTTAATGTTTTAAAGATGTAATTCTTAAAAATGTTCCATGAAACGTGTACTGTATTTTTGTGTTTATACAGGAGCATTTTTGATACCGTATTTCATATTTATGTTTGCCATGGCAATGCCGCTTATGTTTATGGAGTTTTCAATCGCTCAGTATTCCAGCCTTGGGCCAGGGAGATTGTTTTTGTGTTGTCCATTGTTTAAAGGTAAATTCTTATGGTTAAAGTTTAAAATTCAATTACCATTACCAGAATGTAATGTTGATAATTTATTATTCATTAAAATACATCTGTGACGTAAATCTTTTGTTTGAACTCTCCATTATTTTTCAGGAATGGAGAGTTATTTTCTATTGTCCATCTTCATTCATCCGGACGTTTTGCCCTTTGGGTATTTCCATGGGCACTTTCTTAAAAAGTGTTAACCCACGGAAATAGTTCTAAAAGACGTAACGCGATATTGAATGAAGATGAAAACTTACTAAAACGGCTGATATTAAATGGATTTTTTTTAAAATTGGGATAACCTCGTAGTAATACAATGAACACCAAATATCTCATTATCAATAAACAGCTTTTATTTGCGAGTCGTAATTTCATCGTATTATATATAGTATCGTTTTCACTAAAATTCCACAACATTATCCGCAATTTGTTTTCCGATGCAAATCTTGGCTAAATTTCTGTCACGGATTATATCCAAGCGGGTAAAAAACGCATATTTTCCATTGAATGCCATTCCTCTTCTGAGTATCTACAAAATATCAAATATGTTAACTCAGTTAGACATTAACATTATACAATAAGGAAAATTAGAGATACAAACTTACAGATTTGCTCTCAATTTTACCGTTTAAGATATCATTTGCTTGAAATTTTAAGTGTTGTATTTTGATTTTGACATCAAAAATCGTTTGTTCCATTTTAATATATACATTAAAAAAGAAATATTACTCTGTTGCTACAATAAATTGTGGTTAAATAGAATAAATAGTTCAAGAAACTGAAATGGTCAAAATGACGTATTCGGTATATTATTTGATTTTTCGTTGTTATAATTTGTATATGGTACTAATGAATAGAATTTGAGGGATATGGATAACATTTGAAAAAGGCTTGTGTTAAATATTTGGCGGGATTTTTTTTCAATTTCAACAGAAACGCGTAACACAATCGAATTCCTTCACTGTTATTATATGTCCAGTGGCAAATATAACAGTTATACCGGCATTGCAAATGACGGCGTTAATCTTGAAATGTTTAAATGAAATCAAAAAGTAGTTTTCCACTTAAGTTAAAGACATACACAACACAATCTAGAAATGATTTTAATCACGCGGGTTTTTTTTCTCTCTAAAATTGATTGCCACTTTTCTGATAATAGGGAAGAATGAAAAAATATTTTCAGTTTGCTTGTATTGCTATTTAAGACTCTTAGATATGCATAACATTTTTTTTCGTTGTTATGAGCAAAGTGAGCGAAAAAAATAAATGTTGGATTATGCGTGAAATATGAAACAGTGTTTTCTTGTTTAATTTTATTTGAATGGTTTGAAATATAGAATCATATTTTGTTTCAGATATGACTTCAAATCAAGCACGCCCTTATCAGTTAAATAACCTATACTGAATTGTAACATACCTGGAAATTTATTCTAGTTGTACCATGTCATTTTTGTCGGACGATTCTACATCCAAGATTTATCAAACGAAAAATACACATAATCCATTGACATATATGCATAAATATTAGGTTTCTCTCTCTCCCGAAATACCAATAAAAGACACAAATAAATATCCTTTCAATCCCACCGCAAGAAAGACGTGCGTATCCAATGACTTTAAACATAAATCTGGATGAACTTTATTCAAGATTTTTTTATAGTAATTATTTGAAACTGTTCATAAATACTTCGTTAAGTGATTAGATGGTCAGCTTGATCTTAAATTTTGCCTGTAGATTATTGGGTACACCACGGGGAAAATGAAAAGAAAACCATTACAAAATGAGATAAAATTCTTTAAAATGTTATAATCTAAAAATTGTTCTGAATATTTAAGGTGTATTTTAAGTAAGCGAAAGTCCAAATAACTGTCCATTCCTTATAACTTAAATAAAGGTAATTAAAAGTGTAGACTATTGGGCTTGTTTTTGTGAGATTTATACATGTACTCGGAAATGGTATGTTATTTGACTAAAAAATAGAAAAATTGGAATTGAATTATAAAACAATGCTGGTCCAATCGTTAAATATAAAAAAAATCAAGTTACAACCTTTTATTGAGGCTTGAACTGTAAAAAATACGCTTAGTTTATCCCTTATTTTTAGTTTGAGTAATGAATGTCCTTCTATTTACAGGTATAGGGTATGGAATTATTCTTATGTGCATAATTTCAGCTTCTTATTATTCAACCGTCATATCGTGGACATTATTTTATTTTGGAAATTCCTTTCTGTCGCCGTTGCCTTGGACATCATGCAACAACACTTGGAACACACACAACTGTTATATAAGATCATTTTCTAAAGAGGAAGCGATGAATAGTACTGTAACCCTTAGTAACATAACTCAGTTTCATAATGGCAGTGTGCACGTGGAAGCTTACACGAGTTCCGAAGAATTCTGGGAGTACGTATCACTAGTTCAAATCTTCTTTAATTAACTATTTCGAATAGGTGTAAAATATTTTTTGTGTATGTAAAAACAATGTTTTAAGCATAATTGTATGTGTATAAATAATAGTAACTTTTGAAGTAATAGGTAAAATGTATCTTCATTCCTATCGTTCGGTGATTGTTGTGTGATGTTGGCTTTACATCCAGTAGCAATTACCTCAAGCATACTTTTATATTGTATGACTTGGATAAATGATTAATGCATAATATGTAGATTTTTTTATATAAGTACATTTTCACATTAGAATTAAGATATTGTTCCATTTATAAAGACTATCAAATGTGTTAGAACGAGCTTTAGGCAGTAGAGGATACAAAATTTCGAAAAAGATTGCACCAACTCTTTGTATCGATAAGACTAAAATATGTTACTCCATTAATCAGAATTGCATTTTATAAGAACAAGTAAGGGGGAAGATCTAACTCGATTACTGCATGGTATAGTTCAGCTTTTTCGTGTCTAATAACGCGTACAAGTTAATCTTAAATTTTCTGATATTGTTATATGTTGTTTGTTTTATATTAATGAAATCATGTTCAGAAGTAATCTGATTTTTATGCGTCGTCGGATTTCTGAATTGTTGATGTTTACCAAACGTCTTCTTTAATTCATACTAGTCTGATCTTCATATTTATTTTCTATTATAGAATCTCTCCTGACATGAATAATTTGTAAAAACAATAATATATTTTCTTGTATTTAGAAACCGTGTACTAGGACTAACCTCTAGCATAAACAACATCGGAATACAAAGATGGGAGTTAGTTTTATGTTCCTTAGGAACATGGACTGTGGTGATCCTGGCTTTAATAAAAGGCATAAAGTCTTCGGGAAAGGCTAGTAAACTAGTTTTTCCCATATTATTGAATTATGTAGTTTTATTCATTTTGCATAAAGATAAAAATGCAAAATTATTTGAATAGAAATATGCACTGACAAATATCTACAGAATGATTTTGAAATTTAAGATTGTCTTCTTCGTAGTCCATTATTCTTTTAAACTAGTTGTTTGTTTTCTCTAAATTTCAATCGATTTTTCTCCCCGAAGAATTAATTATTTTCTTATCAGCATGTTAACATTATGTCTAAAATCTCTTAAGGAAAACGAGAAAGATACCCCCCCCCCCCCCCCGGAAAGCCTCATGAATTTAACTGTCCATTAGTAACTTAAAAGCAAAAATGTTGCATCACACTTGCTGCAGTCGTAAAATCTGTATTTGTAGTTACAACTACAAAGTTGGTTTAGTTGGTTTGAAAAAATGTTCATCGGACTCAGTTCATCAGAATAAGAAATTTATACTAGCATGGTTTCCCTCCTGTATTTGTCTTATTTATTTTTATTTATTTTTATTTGTATCTTGAAGGTGCACTGAATATTCGTGGCAGATACCAACCAATAGTAAAAAAAGGTACAGAAGATACATTAGGGAACAATCAACAATCATCATTTGAAGAATTATCGGCAGTATCATAACAAAAAACAAAAAGAATAGACAAACAGCAGTCTAGAATAGTTACACGAACCCTATCAGTACAGGGGATGATATTAGGTGCTCCGGAAGTGTAAGCAGATCATGCTCCACAAGTGACATCCGTCGTGTTCACATCTTTTCACTATTTGTCTGCCATTAAAAGTCATCACAGATGTTTCCCGTAAAATCTAATTTAAAAAAAAAAGAAAACGATTGATCCCATAGTGCAAAGTGATTGTAGTCAGTATGAAGTCAAAAAGTCAAATTCGAAAAATCATAATAGCAAAAACCGGTCTATTATAACGTCAGATATGTTGTTATAAATGTTTGTTATATAGTTGTTATTTGTTGTGTTCTTATTCTGTTATATATTGTAGGAATCTTTTAATTTCTTTTTAACAGTTCATGCTGTTTGCGTCAACGCTTCCGTATTTGTTCTTGGTAATACTGCTAATCAGAGGGCTTCTCCTTCCTGGTGCTCTAGACGGTATTAAATACTTCTTCATACCAAGATGGAAGGATCTTAAGAAATTCTCTGTAAATAACCTTAATCAAACCATATATAGTCTTTTATATTCAACAACGCATCTTTTCTTTTTATTCTAATTAAGTTACCGCCTTAATGGTCTTGCGGTAGCTTGCTCGTCTCATGGGTTCGATATTAAGACTTGAACATTGGTATTAACTGCTTCTTCTCTATTAGTACGCGGCATATACACGTATGTCTGGCCCGGCTTGGATATAGAATAATGTGTTCGGCTAGGGTGATATATGTTTCTGCGGACTGTTACCTTGTGGTTTAAAACCAGAAAAATCAGACTCAGAGTGTATATAGAGACGTAGAGAACATGGTTCTAATTATATTACAGCAACATATTCTTCTCATCCCAATATGAATGTAATATTTGACGTTATACCCCAGTACTGAAGTATTTGCCTCCATTAAAATCAAATATTCCATATTCTAAACTATTGGAAAATAGCATTTGGTTTGAAGAGTTATTATGATATATACTGTGGATTCATTAATATTCGTTGGATACCAATTTTCGTGGATTTCGTGGGTACAAGGGAACCACGAATTTAAATATTCAACGAATTGCAAATTTTCTAAAGGAATGTATGCAGACTTTACCAAAACCACGAAATTAAATATCCACGAATATGCAAGTTTTCCTCAAACCACGAAAATTGGTACCCACGAAAAGAAATGAATCCATAGTAGTATGTCATCTAGCTATGTTTATTCATCAGTCACGAAGCAATACCTTAGTGCCGAGCATTAATTTTATGTTTAGTTTAAATGTCCTTGTTCACATTTGCATGCGACGACAATAAAAGCATAATCAGGTCTGGGTTTTGCTCATTAATGAAACAACTTTCCACCAGAGACCAAATGACGACGATGTAAACAACTATAATAGGTCAACATCCGACCTTCAACAATAATACGCAATCATACCATATCTCCTTATTTATATGCAAAAGCTTTTACATTGAGTTTCGGTTGAATTTTCATATATCAAATTTAACAACTTCAATACAGTTGTAATAAAATATAATGCATACAATTATATATTAAATATAAATGTGTACATCAGGTTTGGAGCGATGCTGCTGTTCAAGTCTTTTATTCGTCAAGTCTTGGAATAGGTGAACTGTTGACACTGGCAAGTCATAATCGTTTTAAGAACAATTGTCAAAGGTATATACTTTATAACGGTGATTAGCAATCATTTCACGATTGATTAATAGACTTATGTCTTTCCGTCTGCTTAGAAAATATTTAATGTATTTGGCTTCCATCCTTCTTGATATGTAATTAGCTCTGCGATACCGTATAACAAGTGTAGAAAGTACCTGTTATGGCACTTTCATAACTTAATTGTAACAAGTGCTTTTATTTTGTAAAAAAAAAGTAAGAATATACCAAAATGAGGCAATAAAAACCGAGGTCAAAGAAAAACAGACAACACCATGATTTAAAGAACAATGTAAGGACAAACAACAGACAATTGAGAATTTCAAACCTAAAAAAGCGGGGTAAATTCAGGTTCTCCGACGAGAAACAGTTCCTGCTTCCGATGACTTGTGACATCTCTTGTGCTCATGCCATGCAAAAAATGACTGTAAGTCGCATCCAATGATAGTCGTCAATAAGAAAAGAGAAACGAGAACGTGACTACGATAAATGTGGAAGATTTCATTGGTCAAATTTGACGCAGAAATTCAATACTGTTCATCCAAATCATGATCACGTCAATAAAACTTTCGAAGAGATGACTTCAGCTTTGCCTTTTAGAACACTTGTTTCAACAAGCAAAAGTACGTGATCGAATGTAGTGTTACATTTTCCATAGACAGTATTAGTAACTCGAAAAGGAAAGTACAAATTGAATCCGAACTTAATAAAAATGAGTTTGACCAAAAATAGCAACGAAACTTAGGACATTACTTATATTCGATGTACTGGTACAATCAACTTATATTCAACATCTTTTCAGAGATGCTATGATTCTCCCATTTGTTGATGCTTTTACGAGCATCTTTGCAGGATGTGTAATATTTTCAACACTGGGTTACACAGCAGCATCATCGAATCTAGACATTGATATGGTTGTCAAACAAGGTAATGCATATGAAAATAACACTTCATGAAGTGTCCAAAGTGCTTTTCTGGAAGTACTATCACCAGGAACACCAATACCCCAAAACGTGAAGTCTAATTCATAACAACTTACAAAAAGAGATAAATGACCAAATGGGACATAGAAAGAATATAAAATCAAATATCCAAAGTTAACTTGCATTGTACTACAAACACCAATCACACACTTTTCAGAAATCTATACATAGCGCGCCATCTGAGAAGGCATACTAAAATTCGAAATTAAAATGAGTCATTAAAATCTTCAAACAAAGTGTCATCAGAACAAAAACTAGTTAAAGTCTTTACAGGCATTTTATGGTAAATAGCACAAAATGAGAAAGGAACACGTGGTCTAAGTAGTTCGGTCAGCTACATATTCACTAGCTTTTTGATTCTGAGGTTACGAGTTCGAACCCTGCTCGTGACGAAGTGGTCGACAATAATCTTATGTGACAATGATCGCCAGTTTCCTGTATAAGGTCGATGGTTATCTCCGAGCACGCAAGCTTCCTTTACCAATAAAAACAGGCCGCCTTGACATAACCAAGGTAACTTAAAGTTGAGTTAAACAACAACAAACACAAAAAAATGAAAAGCTAAAATTGAAAAATTACATCAGAAGCATCCAAATAAAAAATGTCAATTATTGAATATTCTCTGGTAATATTCTCAAAATGTCAATTTTATTTATAGTTTTCATGATAGTTACCAATTGGCCATAAAAAAATGTATTCAAAAATTTTCATGAATTAATGATTTTCTTCCAAGCATTACGAATGACAATGTACCACAAGGGGCGTTACATCGTCTGATCTTTTAATTACCGAACGTGACTTATTCCCGATTGTGACTGTTTTGCTGAGTGTGAATTCGCATTGCTATAAGACGTGTCACGGTACCTTTCTATCCAAAATTCATGTATTTAGTTTTATATTTGTTATTCTCATCGGATTTTGTCAAATGTCTTATCGTTTGTAGTTGTAAATCTTATTTTTTTCTGTTGTATTCGTGTGTAATGGTAAAGATTATTAATCACCCTGTTCGTTAATTAGATTTTAGTTTGGGTCAACTAAATTTATACGATATATTTGGTTTACAGTTTGATTTAGAAGAAACACCGACATAGCTAGATAATACTATTAATTATCTTATTACTACCACATTTTATATTAATTAGTATTGTAATTTTCATTGTTATTGATAAATGTTATATGAGTATTATAAACCAAATCTTGAATTCTATCCTAATTCTATCCTATTTTTGGGAAATTTCAGAAATTCAAATGTTACGTGACCTTTTTTTAGCGTTGATCTCTTTGGCTAACTCGGCTGTGAATTTTTGTGTGCTGGTTTATGTTGTTTTATGTATCCGTTTTTATTCTGTAGTTAGTCACCACTTCGGTGTTATCATGTATATCTATTATATAGTCATTTTTATAAATTTACTGTTTACAAAAGTATGAATTATTCTAAAAACTAAGGATTTTCTTATCCCAGACATATAACCTTAGCCGTATTTGGCACAACTTTTTGGAACTTTTGGTCCTCAATGCTCTTCAACTTTGTACTTGTTTTGGCTTTCGTACTTTTTTGATCTGAGCGTCACTGTTTAGTCTTGTGCGGACGAAACGCGCGTCTTGCGTATTAAATTTTAAACCTGGTACCTTTTGTTAGCTATTATATGTATGTTTCTCTGTCCTATATGTTCTCCCATTTATTTGTATTGTAGTCCTGTCATGTAATGTTGTCATTTTAATGTTATATTTAACATTGCCATAAAAGCGGGAGGTTTGGCTAGCCACAAAACCAGGTTCAACACACCATTTTTTTCTTAAAATGTCCTGTACCAAGTCAGGAAAATGGCCATTGTTATATTATAGTTCGTTTCTGTGTGTGTTACATTTTAATGTTGTGTTTCTGTTGTGTCGTAGTTCTCTTGTATTTGACGTGTTTCCCTCAGTTTTAGTTTGTAACCCAGATTTGTTTTTTCTCAATCGATTTATGAATTTCGAACAGCGGTATACTACTGTTGCCTTTATTAGGCACGTGCTTACACATAATTTTTTCACAAATATTTTTTTTTTTTAGGAAAAAAAAATAATAAACTCTTTAATTATCGAATTTCATGTGTACACTAGTCTATCATCCTTAGTGAATGGAGTATTGGATAGAATTGTATGACATTTTCTTCCACCTTATATTGAAACTATAAACTAGAACTTTGGTTCAGATCATTTCACTTCTATCAACAAATACTTGAATGAACCGCAACTTAGACACATGATTTGTTTTAATAAGTTGTTGTTGGCTTTCAACTAGCTTTCCACTTGGTCTTCATCCGACCTACAGTAAAACCCTTGCCAAAGTTGTGCGTTCGTTTGGCTGTGCAGGATGTATTAATACGCAGTCACGTCTGGTCAGAACGGGGACGTTAAATCCGATGCCTAGTGTAGAGAGAATGCGTTCGTTAAGAAACTTGCAACAACTCTTTGAGGGGTTCGTAGGTGGTCTACTGAAAGGCAAAATTTCTGTTCCTATCCCATAAACCCTTTTTTTCCAAGACATGGCGTTTCCAAATTTCCAGACCTTCGTCCTGGACGACCACTATTACAGGACCTAGCTACCTGTTGTATTTATTGGAAATTTGTTTTTGTCCTGAACATGCATAAACTATTTACCACTGGACGTTTAGCAATCAATCAATCAATCAACTAGCTTTCAGTAACTTCGAGTACTCTTAGATCTACGTGTAATGACCATAAGTATTCAAATTCCTAAGCAGGTAGGGATTTGACAGTACAGGATATAAAGAAATATGAATTTCTTGAATTTTGTATGATAGTATGAACAGAACAGAACTTCTGCATGAGGCATCGACTGTGTGTGTATGTGTTTGTGTAGCCAGGGAACGGTGAAGGTTTCTTTTAAATGTAGGATCGTCAATATATACTATCAATTGACGTATATATCAATTATCCTCAATCAGAAAGGAATAGATATGAAAATACTAAACAGGTTGTGCTGCTTAATAAAGGGCTACGCTGATCCACGCTGGGCAATGCATATTGTAATTTTTTTTAATATATATATTTCCGATTGCACTGCCGGTTAATTCATCAGTCAGATGTAATTGTAAAATTATGTATATTATAATTTCTTCGAAATTTTTTCATGTATATTATCATGATAAAATGACCAGTTTTCATGTTTTTTTGTACACAAAATTTTGCAACTGAAATGCTGAAAACCGTTTTCCGTAGGGGGCTTCGACCCCCCCCCCCCCCCTGAACCCCCTAGCAGGGCTCTGCCCTGGACCTGATTGTGGCCTTGAGCGTCCTTCAGACCCCCTGCCGCAATTTGTGCCTACAGTTTATTGGATACCTAGCTACGCCCCTGACCGCTAAGTTATAATGGACCCTATTACATTTTTTTTATATGTCGATTTTAATACCTCTTTTCATGATTGAATTTAAGGACCGGGAATTGCATTCGTCGTATATCCAGACGCCTTAGCCACATTACCATTACCACAGATATGGTCGGGATTGTTTTTCCTTTTGTTATTCATGATAGGAACCAATAGTTTGGTAAGTACAGTGGGTAAATGAATGAACAGAGACATAAAATGTGATTACTATGATACATAATGTGCAATGTTAAATGTATGACAGTCTTTTAAAAAGCTTGTTATTTTGAAACAGAGTAGCGAGCATCCTTAACTGTTAGCTCTTTCTGCAAAATGTACATGTACCCACAGACATATATACACATATGTGTGATATATGTTTCTGATGTACCGCTTCATATGGTTTTGTACATGTCGTTGTGTGTTAAATACATTTTACAGAAGTATTAGGGATTCCTTCATGACAGTGACCTACAGTTACTTACTTCTACATTATAGGGTCTCTGGTGTAGATCTCGAGTTGTCTGATTGGTAATTATACCACATCTTCTTACCTTAATGTTATGTATTAAACTTTAGAAAAAATGGGTTATGTGTCAGGGAAACGTAAATATCGCCGAGTCTGATGACAATTATGAATGTTATTCAATTTAAATGACTTTAATAGTTAAACCATCAAAACTTATTCCTTAATCATTTTTATGCACAGATAGTGGTAGTACAAGTGATTGGCGGTGGATTATTTGACACGTTCCCTAATTTATCAGCATCCAAAAGGACAATGGTCACAATGTCCATATGTTTATTAGGATTTTTACTTACTTTTATTTATACAACTCAGGTGAGGTATTTCTAAGCATATGCAACACAAGATTTGATCATAGCATATTTAAGTCATTTACCTTAAACTTATATGTTTAACAAGTTAATGTATATTCAACGCGGATTGAAACTTTTTTACATTCAAGAAAAACGAATTAGGAAATTTGATCCACAAAAAAGAGATATTTTATTTCTTCTTATTCATATATGCATTCATTTATTCTTTTAGCGATTTTTCTTATTTGTTGAAATCCAAGACAAATCAAGATTGGAATTGCTAAAGTTGCTTAACACATTAAAAGATGCACTCTAAAAAAAAACCCAGCTTAACTGCGACATTATAGACTGAAAGACTGTTAACTTAAATGAGCATGGGGACATGTCTTTCAACAAATATCAAAGAATAAAAAAGATGAAAAATAAATTACGCACTGCAACTTTACTTTCTTCATATACAGATGGAACCAGTATATGTTATCTTTTATTCCGATAAATCATGGTAGGCATTTTGAGTATTTACAAAACATGACATGACTTATTGGTCTCTATTGTTTAGTGGGAAAATGATTTATGTTATTTTATATTTAAAGGGTGGTATGTACGTCTTGCAGCTTGTTGACTGGTATTTATCAAGTATACCTAGAATGTTTATAATGTTGCTTGAGAGCATTGTGATCATCTATATCTATGGTAAAATCATAAGAGGACTTATTGAATTTCGATATAAAACTTTGTCAAATAATATTAATACATATACATGGCATGCATGAACGAAATACAATTGTTTTCAACTTAGCAAATGAAAAAGTAAAACCACCACAGTCCTGTTTATACTAACAAACTTCAAAATTAGAGTTTATGACAGAATATTTTAATAGAAAATAAAACTCTGTCACAATGTCATCATCGACGTGAGTACTGTTCCTGACTTCTTGTAATCATTTCCCTATGTTTCGATGACTCTATGGAGAACTGGTCCTTGTAGGGGAGTTACTCTCTATCAAACGTTGTTCGTACAATCACCCATCATGAAACGCCATACTGTTAATTGAGAAGGTTTTTTTTCTTCAACTACATGATAAGCAATCAGTCAAAACAAACCACCGATGCTGTCAATTTTTATCAGCAACGCTGTTTATGAGTAATTATATGCAGCTTTATATTTTTTTTTTTAATAAAGCATCACACAAATTTATTCTTTACTTGAATAGCAATTTTTCAGGTGTCAGAAGACTAAGCAAGGACATTGAAATGATGTTAGGTATGCAACCATCAAGGATATGGAAATTCTTTTGGTTGTTTGTGACCCCACCTTTACTGACGGTAGGCATTCAAATTCTTTATCATTTACTGATAGCTTCTTTTTACCGATTAACAAATTATTATTATTATATGACATATGGATATATAACATATGGATCTTTATTTTCCATATCGGCCCTGAAATCATCCCGAGACTCCCATGAAAGCCCAATGCGCTAGCCGAAAGCTCATATGGGTCGAGGGGTGATGCCAGGGCCCATATGGAAAAAGACATGTTACAATCTATTTATCACATATTATACAAACGCTTAAAAAATAAAAAATGATTTTACAATTCCTTCTGGCAAGATCATACAATTTTTTGTCCTCCATTGAAATAACTTCATTATTACGAGGCTCCAAAACCGTTCCAATTTATAGTCCTTGAGTATTATAATATCAATGGCAGATTTTCCATTAGTACTAGTGTTCTTTTTTTCTTTAACAAATTTCGCTGTCATTTAAATCGACGTTCCCCGTCCGTCATTGTTGTTCCGAAAGCTTATGACGTCATAACAGGGCACAATAACATGTTATTTGCCCCGGTCAGGGATGTGACTAGGACAAATCTGCGGTTATTGTATATGCAAAACCAAATGTTTTCGTTACAAATATGTAATAAACTAGTAGACTATTGATCAGCAGTATTGCTCTTTTTGAAAGATCTCGGTTTTCTAACTGTGATTGTAACACATGTATTGGTTTGTATATTATACATAAAGAGACCTTTATTTATTAATTGCCAAATCCAGTCAAAATAGTGCTGCCCTCCCCCTATTTTAACTTCATCAATGCTGAACGACAGTATATCTATCTAATTACAAATGCTAGTTTATGTTATTTTCAGATAATTTGGATAATAATGGTCGTTCAACTTAAAACAATAAAGTATGGCGAAATACCATATCCGTCATGGTCTATTGCATTCGGATGGATCTTGGGTTTGATCCCTATATTTGTCATTTTGCCGTCCATGCTTTACACTATGTGGAAACAAACAGGAAGTTTTACCCAGGTATAATTACTTGTTATTAGATTTTATATCGTTTTTATTCCTTAAAAAGTTTGTTCGTACGAAACTCTCCTTTTTGGGACCATTTCTGTTTCTGTTGTTTTTAAGAGTTCCGTTATAATTTAGAAAAGGTGTTTCCTTAAAATATATTATGTGATAAATGAATTTACCAGCAACTGCAAATGTAGTTTTATCCTTGCAATTCCCCATATTATGCTTTTATCTTTTTGTTAAAATACATAACAGAGTTAAGGAAATTTATTCTCTAAAGAGTTTTTGAAAATGTCTTGAATGCAATTTGAAACCGTAAATTAACACACAAAAATAGAACGAAACAACAGTAGAAATAAAATCCACAAACCATTATAGAGGAAACTATACTACCTTGCCATAATTGCGAGAACTTTAAGATCGGTTCCGTGAGTCGTTGTCTTTTGTTATTTGCTGTCGTGCTTTCAGTGGTTGTCGTTTAATTGTTTCTTTCTCTTTAATTGTTATACTTAATATACAGTATGGGTTTTACTTATTATAAAAGTTCGTCGGTGACGTGTCATTGTTCAAATATCTGGGTATTGTTATGTGCTCCAAAAAGTTAAACAAACAAATTCTAAAACAAAACCAAAAAAAAAAAAAAAACACGCTACACAAGATTTTTTTTTTCGATCAAAATCAACGTGCTATCTCGGCGAAAACTTGTAATAGTAGGTATTTATACATGTCATAGTTTTATTATCAAACAAAATTCAAGCCATCGTTATCAAAACAATTTAATGTTCAAACAGGTGCAAATTTAAAAAAAAGGCTTATAAGTTTTAAAATACCATCTACTTAAGACTCATTAGTAGCAGGGATGGGGTAATCGTAATCTGTAATCGTAATCGATTGTAATTGATTACATTTTTTTCCAGTAATCGACTGTAATCTGTAATCGAAGACATTTTCGATTACATGTAATCGTAATTTAATCGATTACAGCAAAAATTATGATGTAATCATCGATTACTTTTCGATTACATTTCGATTACTTTAGTAAAATTGTTTGATGAAATAAAACCAATTTTAAATGAAAATATGTATGTATTCATAACTTTATAGTATAGATAAAACAGAATGTAATAATATGACTTAAGAGTTTATCAACTGTCTTATTTCTATCTATTTTACATGTCTCAAGCTGCATTCTGATCAACCAGATCTCCTACCAAATTTTACTGTATATCTAGCTTTTGAAACAAATGACTTTACTTGCTTGTCAATAATTTAAGACCTTTTATATTAAGATAAGAAAATAGATTTAAAATAAGAAAATAAATCTAAAATAAGAAATTAGTATTAAGTTAAGTTCTGTACTACATTAAAGTAGTAAGCTTATTTGTATTAAAGTTCCTAAAAGCATAATTTTCAATAAGAGTTGGACTATTAACTTAGAATAGATAAACAGTTGATTCATCGAAATGTTATGATATAGAAATTAGGAAAGTGCACAAAATTCTTTTGACAATCGACCAAAGGCTATGTATTGAAATTCTTTTTCAGAAATAGATACATGTATCCCATTTTGAAACTTAAAATATATATTGTTTATAATTTGAATAGAGAATAAAAAATTCTAAACAAACTTCTTGTCTTTACTAATCAGATAATTAAAGACTTCTAATCAATAAGATGCAGACTTTGTTTTGATTTCAATTATGTTTAATTAAGAAATAGATTTACATTATATTGCCCCAGGTTATAAACTGTACTCCATTGGCAGTTTTATTACCTGTAATTAGGGAGGTTATCCAAACAAAAGGATTAATTCATACCTGTAATTATAAATTGCCATCTTTAAAATTAGCAGAACTGATTAATTATTCAACTTTTTTTATATTTTTTTTTAGAGGAAACTCTCCAACATTGTAATGAACTATATTAAAATATACCTGTGTATAATGAGTAAAAACAAAAAACCTAACTATAGTCAGTATGACAGCAAAATTTTTGCAAAACCTAAAATATAAAGAAGTGATTGATGCAATGTAATGTCACTGCAAGAACTTTTTTACCACTCATTAATGTTGAAAACCAAAATTTCAAGAATTTTTTAACATTTCTGATCCTCAGTAAGAGCTTCCATCTAGAAAACAACTGTCGACATAAAATTTGCAAATAATGCTTGAAATACTGTTTTTGGTAAAGTTCCAAATTTCCCCTATACATACTTTGAGCAACATAATTGTGTTTAACTTTATTTATTATTATTTTGTAGCATGTAATTGACAGTAATCGAAAAGTAATATAATTAATTTTGATAAAGTAATCGATGGAAATCGATTACATACAAAAATCAGAGTAATCGATTATTAATCGATTACATTTGTCAGTAAACGTGCCCATCCCTGATTAGTAGCTTTCGAAATGAAACAGTTGGACGGCCAAATCAATAACAGAGAGCACGACGTTACGGGTATATTATATATGCGAAATCATTATTGTATGAATTATAGAATACATGTACAATGTTGAATGGTTTTTGCTACTTATGGCAGCTGATTTTCCTATGTTTATTTTCACAGAGATTACAAAAATCAATACGTCCAAGTTATTCATGGAAAGCAGTAGTCCCAAATGACTTTGAACTAAAATCAGCGATATCTAAATAATTATATGGAAATAGAAAGTGTCTTTCACTTATTGGAATAATATTGATTATTATTATAATTACAGTTTTGAATATATATTCTGAGAAATTCAGACATTTTTACACGCAAGTATTTGTGTTTTGGACAAGCTGTTTTCAGTAGATATATTGAAATATTTATCAAGTTAACAATGCTCTTCCTTCAGGTATATAAATTGTATGTGTTCTTGAAGAATGAATTATTAAAACTAATATTTTTGAAATGTGTCGCCAATTTTTTTAGTGTATATGTCAATATAAATTTTTAAAAATGAGATGCCGGATATACGTTGATGGTCACAACCCGACGACGCACTGACACAGTTGCGTATTCAGAATTTTACAAAATGTGGACCCACCAAGGCAACGGTAAGAATGGGACTTGTAAAAAGTAAAATTGCATTTACCATATATATAGCTCCATAATGTTCCCTGTAAATCCCCCTCTGATTAACAAGATGTTCTGATTTCATTCAAAACATCTAATAGGGCGACAATATTTTGAATCTTAACCTACAGACTTAATTGCTAAAAGATGTTTCATCCTACCTGGACACACTATGCTGAATAGGAGGTGACCATGCAGTCTTAACTCTTGCTCCTACATGTAAAAAATGTTTGCCAACACACTGGACACACTATTCTGAATAGGAGGTGACCAAGCAGTCTTAACTCTTGCTCCTACATGTAAAAGATTTTTGCCAGCACATTGGACACACTATTCTGAATAGGAGATGACCATGCAGTCTTAACTCTTGCTCCTACATGTAATAGATTTTTGCTAGCACACTGGACACACTATTCTGAATAGGGGGTGACCATGCAGTCTTAACTCTTGCTCCTACATGTAAAAGATTTTTGCCAGCACACTTGACACGCTATTCTGAATAGGAGTTGACCATGCAGTCTTAACTCTTGCTCCTACATGTAAAAGATTTTTGCCAACACACTGGACACACTATTCTGAATAGGAGGTGACCATGCAGTCTTAACTCTTGCTCCTACATGTAAAAGATTTTTGCTAGCACACTGGGCACACTATTCTAAATAGGAGGTGACCATGCCGTCTTAACTCTTGCTCTTACATGTAAAAGATTTTTGCCAGCACACTGGACACACTATTCTGAATAGGAATTGACCATGCAGTCTTAACTCTTGCTCCTACATGTAAAAGATTTTTGCCAGCACACTGGACACACTATTCTGAATAGGAGGTGACCATGCAGTCTTAATTCTTGCTCCTACATGTAAAAGATTTTTG